GAGGACGAGAACAAGAGGCCGTCCCCCCCCCCCGGGGGGCCCAGAGACACCACACCAGGCTGCAGAGACAATCCTGGTGAAAGGCCTGTCAGGGGAATCTGAGGCCAGGAACATAGAAGGTAGAACCAATCAGTTTCAGGAGTTCCCCAATGTTGCGGCCAACCTGGCCACCCTGGGAGCTTGATAAAATAAAGTCTTCTAGGCTGCTACTTTGGAGATTTGAATTCAGTAGGTCACAAAAGACCTAAAATCCAAAAATCTGGAGTCTGCCGGTGGCATGGTGGTTAAGGTGGCCAGATCCCACATGGCTACCCGGATGGTTCAAGTCCTGGACCAGCAGCTTGAAAAACACACCAATGTGTGTTGAACGCCCAAAATCCCAGGGGGAGAAACGGAGAAGGGATTGCAGCATAACCGTCCCCCTTCAGGGGCACTTTCTTTCTTTTTCTCTGTCTCTCTCTGGCAGGCAAATGTGCCCTCTAGCAAAATTTAAAAAAAGAAAACCCCCAAATCTGTATTTTTGAACCCTGCTGAGTTTGGGAGCCACTGCCATAGTCTAAGGTCTTCTAGGGACATTTCCTGCTCCCTACTCTCTCTCTCTCTTGTTGCCAGAGGGCGTGTGCTCACGGCAGAGGGAGAGAGAACGAGAGACTCTCTCCAACAGGCCACATCAGGCCGCAGTCCTTTCGTCTCCATTCGTCCATCCCGCCAGGATCTAGGGCTCGCAGGCACCCGTGCCTGGTGTGCTTCTGAAGCTGCAGGGCGCGCCAGTCGAACCTCGGTTGGCCATGTGGGACCTGGCGATGGACAGCTGTCAACTGCTGTGCTGCCGGGCGGCCTTCGGTTGCCTGCAAGAGCAGAAGTCTAGGGGAGGGCGGGGACTTGGCCACAGCAAGCTGTGGCTCTGCTGGGTTTTGAGTCCAGAGCTCGCCACTGCTGGCCATGGGAGGGGCACGGGGCACTTCCAGGAGCTGCCTGCCAGCTCTCCCCCACCCCCAGCACCCTTCCCCCAGGATGATCTTTGGCTAGCCTGAAGCCACTGTCCAGCGAGGCCCAGGCATCTCCACCCCCTCGCTGTCACGGGGAGGTGGGCCAGTGGGGAGTTTAGACAGCTGGACTCGGATCCTGCAGGTGTTCAGCTCTGAGAGGCTGCAGGACAAGAAGAGCTGGATCCAAGCCCAGGGCGCCTGCCAGGAGATGGGGGCCCAGCTGCTGAGCCTGGGCAGCTACGAGGAGGAGCATTTTGTGGCCAACATGCTCAACAAGATCTTTGGGTACTGAGCCTGGGGTGAGGGGCGGCCTTCATGTGGGTGGGAGCATGCGGGGCTGGCGTACTCTTGGCTTTGCTGGGCACGGGGCAGGGAGCAGGGAGCGGGCAGAGTGAAGGTGACTCCGGGGAGGCCTGAGGGCTTGGGATGACCTGTGTATCTGCCCTCTGTGCTGGAGCCATCCTGACTCCCGCCACGCAGCCACAGTCCCCTGAGTCTTAGAACATACGAGTCCCATCCACTCTCTCACAGAGCCAGCAGCACCCCCCTCTACTCACAGTCACCTCCCTCCTCCACTGTACCCTTTTATGAGCTGACCCACACTGTGCCCCCGGACACTACACCATCCCATAAAAACCCACACTCCTCAATACGCGGTTTTTCCTGAGACAGGAGGATGGCTGCTACTGTGTTTGCACACACAGGGGTCTCTCCAGAACCCCTCTCTGTCTTGTGGGCTCCAAAGATCCTGACACACAGCACCTAGAGCCCCTTAGCACTGGGAAACACCCGGATGGATTCCAGCTTCCTGAGCTCTTCATCCTGGCATATCTCGGGATGACCGACCTGCCTAGCAGCTAAGAGCTCACAGCCGTCTCACCACGCACCAGGCCCTGTGCAGAACTAATCCTTGACCGGCCAGTCCTCCCAGCAACCCTACAGAGCGGGCACTGCCAGTGACCCTGGGGGTGGGCAGAGTTTAGCTTATTTGCTGGAGGGCATAGAGCAGGCCCATGGGTGAACCAGGACTCACATCCAGAGCTGTAGGTCTCTGCTTCATCCTCGACGTCCTAAACTCCCTGAAGTAAAAGCCAGCAGTCTGGTGGGTAAGGCTTCCCCCACCCAAAGGGAAGCCCAGGGAAGGGAGCCAGGCTCCGCCCCTGGAGTGGGCGGGCACCTAGTCCAGCTCTCCCCGCGGATGTACAGGTCCCAGCCGTGTTTGAGCCCCTGCCCCTCATCTCCCATCTTTTCTGTGCCCTCCCCGGGTCGTGCTGAAGTGTATCAGAGCCCGAGATCCACGAGCAGCACTGGTTCTGGATCGGCCTGAACCGTCGGGACCCAGGAGCTGGGCAGAGCTGGCGCTGGAGCGATGGCCTCGGGGTGAGGGGGTCTGGAGGCGGCGGGACCAGGAGGTGGGGGGCCTCAGTGCGCCGGCCGGGGGCGGGGCCTGTTGGGGCGGGGGTTAGCAGAGACCAGGTGGCAGTCGACAGGTGAAGGAACAAGAGTTGGAC